GTTAAGATGCAAATTTTCTCGAATTACAAGCAGAAATAAGAAACCTAGCTATGTAAGTTTTGAGGTTTTCACGGCGATGACTATGAAGAAAGTCGTCTTCTGGGTTTAGGCGCCGTGTATTCTTCATTTTGGCCAAAACGAAGAATACACAGCGCCTAAACCCAGAAGACGACTTTCTTCAAGAAACCTAGCTGTTTGCATCTGTATAACATTAACACTGATAGCACCTGAAAAGAATTTCATAACATTTCACAGCATCTGCCAGAAGTAAGAACTGGATTGCAATTTCTGTTCACTCTACATATCTGTTAGCAGAATATAGCAGTCATACTGAGAAATTAATAACATCTATGAAAGCTGAAAATTGCAGCAATTTGCAGCTGTAAATATTCACAAAACAAATGAAAATTCAAACCTCTCTTTGCAAAAAATCCTACATTCTCTTCACATGTTCAAGGCATTACCATAGAAACTGTTCACATTTCAAGAGGAGTGATGTTCATTAATGTACTGATTGCTGACAAGAAGAATCTTGAAACATTACACAGAATTTCTTGTTAAATTACTTCAACTGTTCCAATTACATCATGCAACATTAGCCCTTTGCCATAAATCTAAAGCACTAGTGTGAAATGCAATGAGCACAGTTTTTTGTGAGTACTCAAATGTTAAATGAGATTTCATTGTGTGTTACTATGTTAAAATATGCAGGGCCTTTTAAATTTACCAGGAAAAACAAAGAATAAATGTAACTATGCAACCTTAGTTTAACCCTCTCCAAACCCTACTCACACACCTTCATCATCCTACACTTTTCCCTTCATTTCAGATAAACACACAAAAACTTTTTTCATGTTACTTATGTTAAAACAAATAACCTGACAACTGCAGCCAATATGCAAATGGAGCTCTGCTCCCACACACTACAGAATCTATCAAGGTATGCAGGAAAAGTCACCACAGATGTGAAGAAAACACAAACATTTTCTAGCACTGCAATTGCTATGTGATATACATTACTGGTTGGTCAACCTGGTCAATTTTAATGACTCTCTGAAGGCTTTATGATATACAGTGCATTCAGCTAAAGAGGAAACTTTGCAACACTGCTGACCCGGCCCAACATTCCCCACAGATTGCTGCTGTAACTGCTGATAGCAGAACGAGTAATTAGCGCTGATAAACACGCACTGTTACAGTTACAGCAGCAATCTGTGAGGAATATTGGGCCCGGTCAATGGCGTTGCAAAGTTTCCTTCTTGATGGAACACTCTGTATTATACTGCAATTACGAAGGATACTGCCCTCTGTCTCAGGTATATCTAATATATGGAAGTACAAAAAAGCCCTATACACAGAGTATGTCAAACACACACCACTTCACAGTATACTTCCAGTGTAAGCGGTAAAAACAAACTCCAAATGCACATATAATATGGTGTTTTATCTTATGAAAGAGCAAAGAATATAATTGTTACCAATTTCTTAATTTTGGCAGATGCATGGGAAGAATGATCCTGTAATTCTCATAATTATAATCATCCATGTAATTGATTTTTAGTTGAATTTGTTAATTAGTGTGGTCAGAACACCGTTCCAATTCATAATGTCAAATGAACACAATACCAGTCTTGAAGAAAATTTTTATGCCAAAATATTCACTGCTGCAAATCAAGGGTTCACAAATTCACTCAAGCCCAAATATTTTGAAATATATTGCAACATACAAATAATTATCATTTTCTTCTTTAAATGCTTATCATGAAGCTTGTGCATGTACAGGACTTTGTGTGACAATAAGCAACCATACATAATATTGCAACTCTTTCTCATAAGGCACAAAAAGAAACAAATTAAAGATACAACTAGTCCAAGGGTGTCCTCATTATGATATTCAGTGTATTGTTTCTTCCTGTTCATTTTTATAAAAAGATAAGAATTTTGTTTTTCTCAGAGTTGTATTTTTATTACAATATACAACACCCACCCCTTGTCAATTGGATCTTTATAGAAGAAAACTTCATGGTATTTCTGATTTCATAATCCATGAAACCTTCAATTTCAAATAAATTGTGTAACTGTATCTTTCACTTCTTTACAATATAAAATATAATTCATAATCACAACCTTTCTTCACTCTCATCTCTATTAAACTAAACTCCCTTTGGCTTTTCAGTGACAATATGATTGTCTATTTTCCCTACAGAAACTGACTTATTCAAATAATAAGCAATTTAATGTAACAAAACACCGACATAAACGTACATCTACAGAACTTCTGCACTACAACAAAAAAAATGCAGTAACAGTGGACCTGGTACATATATTGTAAGCACAATTCTACCTGAAACATACAAGGGGTTCATGTTAAATATTTCTTGATCCTTCTTTCAGGTATTACATATGTATCATATCCAAGCTATGAACACATTTGAAACACACCATGAGAACTCTAGTATTGCTTGTATGGTGAAGAATAATGCATAAAATCTTTATTTTACAAATAACAATATTCTAAAAGATTTATTCAATATCATGTGAATACTATGTGCAACTGGTAACTCCTAGACGGTCTGAGAATAGGGTAGGTACGTTCTGCCATGTTCACATCAGTAATTGATAATTTCAACCTTATTTTACAGAATCTCATTATGTCACACCCTTCTATCCCCACCAGCATTGTATCCGCATGGAGACTTTTTCTACACCATTATTTCTCAAGACCACGATTCTGAACAATTTTGTGTATAAGGGACACTAAAAATAAGAAATAAATTCATACAAATACTACAACCAGACAAATATGACAGCAATAAAACTCTTACAAATCTCATTAACAGTGAAGAAATTCAACTATATATTATAGGAAGGTGTAAGAGCACTTACGTAACAGTCAAGAGTGTGGCTCATTATAGAGTAACACACTCACCATTCATAAATTTGTTCAATGAACAGTAATTGTGCAGAAATACTTCAACTGTGAATAAAATGCCTTGGGTACTTTGGCTGGTCTCTTAGGGACTCTGATGTGGGAAGCAACCACTATCTGATATACTGTAAAAGTATAACCTGATTTACAAATGTTCAATTTGCACACTTTCATATATAGTGTGGTCACATTTCATGCGAGAATTTGTTCCTAAGACCTCACATAATTCAAGCAAGTTTTTTTTCATAGGAAAAAAATGCATTGCCAAATTTTTTGGGATTCGCATTATTTCCAACTTGCCACATAAAGTGAGTCTTTAATAATATATTTAATAATATTGCACTATTTCAAATTCACATAATTAAAAATCTTATAAAATGTGACCAAACTGTACATGCAAGTTTCATTCTTATCAACTACAATTCACATGATATATCCCTACATTTATACAGTTCATTCCACACTCCATTATGATTCATTTGAAGAATCCAGACAATTTGGTATCCTGTGTGGAGGTTCGCACACAACAGTTGTGCCACAAAGACCTTATTAATACTGTATTTACATGTCTAAATATACATTTTATGTTTCTTCAAAGCATTTCACTAGTATATAACTAAGATCACTGTCATTTAAAATACTACTGGAAATAAATGCCAGCATTGTTAACCACAAATGTTAACCATGGGCCTATTAAACAAAAGTAAAACTTTCATTTATGATTCTCTGAAAGTCTGTGACAATGGTACATTCATTATATGAATAGTATGTTGGACACTGCTAGTTGTATGAGGTGCATTTGACACAAATGAAATTTCTGGAGTTGGCCCTGTTCCCATCTTCAAATAAGTGACAAACTTACTATTACAATTCCAAAAATGTTGAGCATCTCAGATATACCTCAGTGAATATACGAAGGGGGACCCAAAAATAACCGGAAACGACCTGTTGTGCGCGCATGCTTTGTAGTTACGAGTTGTGCTGCTAGGTGGTGTTAGCTGGGGGCCTCCCGCGACTGTTAGTGAGCTGGCGTCAGTCTGAGTTAAGTGGTTTGTCTGCGGTGCTCTGTTGTGTGCATTCCTGTTTCAACCCTTTGGCGATTAGTGAGATGGCCGACCAGAAGGAACAAAGAGTGTGCGTGAAATTTTGCTTTCTGTTAGGGAAAACTGCACTTCACTCTTCAAGTCGCGGCAAACATTCACGCGGTTTTCTCTTTGGTCATCTCCAAGCAAGCGAGGAACAAATTTTGCAGACACCCGTCTCATGTGCAAACCTTCGGTTAAAATTCGCTGGACTGTGCTCCATGAGATGTTCGTTTCCTCAGAAAGTTGGTCAGTGGTCTTTCAACGATCTTCATCAATTTCACGCACACTCTTTCTTCCTTCTGGTCGGCCATCTCACTAATCGCCAAAGGGTTGAAACAGGAACGCACACAACAGAGCACCACAGACAAACCACTTAACTCAGACTGACGCCAGCTCACTAACAGTCGCAGGAGACCCCCAGCTAACACCACCTAGCAGCATAACTTGTAACTACAAAGCATGAGCGCGCAACAGGTCGTTTCCGGTTATTTTTGGGTCCCCCCTCGTATATTGTCGAATATAATGCTCATTAAATCCTTGTCACCTGACATCATTCTCTAGGAAGCAGCTACTACATAAGTTAGGTATACCTGCAAGTAGCTTAGCTTCATTCCTCAAATATAGCAATAAAAGAAGTTAAACAAATTTCAAGCAGTATGTACATTTGTGTAGAGGTGTGAAGTAATTATATGTGTGCATGTGTGTATAAATGCCTCTTGCAATCCAAACACCATTATACCAATTCATTCTGCCGTGTAAAATAAAAAAGTAATGAAAAGGTATCCCTTAACAGGCCGTGGAGGCCCACAGGGTTGTGTGATATTGAGGCTCCCACATTTTCTAGACAATCAGCTCAGCCTTATGTGCCAGCCACCCTCTACCCTGGTACTCATTTCTGTTAGAGGCCGAGTTGACCCCAGGGCCATACTGCAGCTGAAAGGATTATGTCAATTGGGATTTGATCCCACGACCTTCCAGCTTGTAGCATAGTGCCTCAACCAATAATGCTACCATGTGTGCATTAAGTAAATGGAAGGTATGACAGAAATTACAAGCATTGACACCATTATCATCACATTACTAGGACACTTAAGGAATTCTTGCCATTTTCCATACTCACATCTGTCTTGATTTCTATAACAGCCATAATTCATACAAATTTTTACACTCTTACACGAAACATTTGTAAAAATATCTTTAATAAAACATATTCATTTTCAACCAATTAATTTTCTCACTTAAACAATATATCTATCAACATTCCTTGAGCACAGTGTATTTATATACTGTAACAATGATCCTCTGAAATATGTAAATTTTTAAAATGCAGGTTCCAGAATATCACAAAATAAATGGAGTTAATTTGCAGTATTCATGATCTGACTAACTAATGTGGAGGAGATTTAATGGTCCAAAAATGATCTGCAATATTAATTTCTAACCTCTTAAATGGTTATGAGGATACTGTCCTTCTTGGCATAGAGGGCCATACCACAGTTCAGATAGTTGTCTGCATGTCACCATGGTGATCCCAGGTTTCATCTCAGGTCAGGTAATGTGGGATTTTGGAGGACAAAGTGGCACTGGGGTAGGTTCTCTTTTCCTTGCCAATTTTCATTCCAACAACCGCTTCACATTCATGAATTATCCTACCATCCAGCACTTTATAAAAGCATCATTACATATTACAGAAAGAAAATGGTATAATTCCTTGTGGGGTACTAAGAAAATGTGTCATGCTAATGTTATGCCTGTTCTATAATATATCTGCTAACATTTCAATCATAGCAGTTACTACTTAATTTTGTAGGTCATAAATGACACTGTGATGTAATAACCATGCAATGGTGCCAAAATAACAGTCCCACTGGCTGATGTGGATTCTAGATGAAATTGGCAAGCCCACAAAATAATTTTACTAATCTGTAAGTAAAAGGAGAAATGCAAACATATTTGTTATGCATATATCGGTGTAATCCTAATTTCTGAGAAAATCTATATAAAGTATTGTGACCCGCAAAAGCTTTCAGATTCTCTACAACATGTCTGCAGAGAAGACAGCCTGAGGGAATCCACCCCTACATAGAAACTTCACAAGTAGGTGGTATTTTACCACTTCTTTAATTCTCCTTGTAGATTATAGGGAAGAACATTAAATATTGTTAAATCTTACCACTTTATTATGGGTTTTATAATGCCTCTGTGCTTAGTATGGTCAGTGTAACAAAACAGTTATAAAAAGAGGCTCTGTTTACATTAAGAGCCAATTTATAGCAAAAAAGTATTAGCAACGTTAATGATTTGATTCTGACCATTAATCAGCTTACGAAGACTCAGTGCAAATATCAGACAGTTCATCTTACATGTTAGAATATGAACATGATAATGATAAGGACACTTGGCTAAGGGCATGTTGTGAATATTATATGAGAACAGATTACTGGGAGTCAGCTTGTCAAGTGAACCTAGCTCACCAGACAAAAGGCTGGCTGTGCTTACAGTATATAGGTTACTATATACTTATGTGTGTGGACTGTTATTCTGTTGTACCTCCCTCAAGATTTGTAACCATTTGTATCTTCTGAAAAGTAACTGCAAGTATTCTATTTTTGCAAGATGCCTAAGGAAAGTATATATTTTTGTGCGTTCAAATTTGATATTTTTACATATATGACTAGTGGGGTCTTTATGTTTTGAATCTTTACTTAAAACCTATGGTACAGGGTGATTAATGATTTAAATATCTCTGGGATGAAAATGTTTGTCATGGAGGCAATATTCGGCCACTAATTCAAATCCAAGTACATCCCAATACAGGCATCTTAAATTTGCATAATTTTTACACTATGGTCATTTTATTCTACACCCGGAACCTCAATGTCTTACGAGTACATTAGTCAGAAAACTTGATCTCTCATATGGAGGCTATCATGCATGCATGCATTAGTAGTTGCACTTGGAACATGTTGAATCCTGTATTTTAACAGCCTCTCCTACAGTAATATAATGTTATTTTGCTTTCAAATAGCCAAACCAATCACAATAACCAAGCTAACCATTCAACATATCCTTTCAGAAAATAATTCCTATTTTTGACACTGAACCTGCAGAAAGAATTTGACTTATAGCGTTCTCAGAACCAATATGGTAAAGAAAATCAGGATATACCTGTATCACAATGTAAATATAATCCAGCTACATTGCAAGCATCACTGAACACATTTATACAGAGAAGAAACTCATTAGCCATGTGCTGACCTCATTTGGAGTACAGGCTAAAGAGAATGCAAACTAAAACTAACAAGAGTAAGTAGATCATGTTGACTTTTAACATTTCAGGAATGCTGCAGCAGCAATTAATTATTCAGTGTGATGAACCAGAGTACATTGTATCCATTCTACAGAAAAGTATCACAGTTTCTGAACATAGTTGGCAGGCAGAAGTCCCTCCTTACCCTGTATGCGCCCTTGCCACCATCCTCCTGCTTCTGCAAAGCACAGAATTAGAATACACTTATTGAAGAGAAAATGCTTTTTACCCCTTAACTGTTATCAGGTGTACTTGGTCCTTTCAAGTGCTTCACCCTTGCTGCAACAGAGCACACTCAGTTTAAACTTTACAGTCTCATTTGTAGCAGTTACTCTATGCATTTCTAAACAGACCTTATACTTCTGCCATTTCTTGGAACAGTACCAACCATGCTAGTTCTTATTTTTGATCGAAAGTGTCTCATACATATTTACATCTACCATACGATTTCATCAACCTGCTATTACATCACAATGACCACAATATGTACAGCAATCCCTTGCAAAGCACAGCAGTTACATTCCTGAAAAACACATCTGGCAAAACCAAAGCTGACAAGATCAAGATCTTATCTGAAATTTGGTATTAGGCAAACCATGGTGACTGTTAATTCTCATCAAAGCCAGTGTTGTCCGTTCTTTGCCAACTGTCTCAGAAGGCAGAACTCTTCTGTGACAGTGAATCTATACAAAGAAGTGATTTCTCTGGTAGCAACAGAAACATTAAGCACTGCAGATACCATCACACCACTTACTGGCACAGCAGTGAAAAGGTCAAAAAAAAGTGTAACAAACTCAGTACTACAGGTGAATACCTGCACTTTTGTATACACTAAGAATATAGCATATGTGCAAATCTATATAAATAAAAATGTAAATGTTCGTTTGTTACCCCTTGAAAATCTCCTAAAGTTCTTCACCGATTGCTTCGAAATTTTGACCAACGTTGCATTCGAATGTGCGTGTTTTTATATACCCATTATATAGATGTCACACCTGTGACAGGTAAAAACATGCGTCTTTTGAAAAACAGAATTGGAATTTGGAATTCAGAAGAGTCACCCCTATGGAAACGCTAGAACCGACCATTGCATAGGAAGTAACAATAGCGATACTGTATCGAATCTCCATGGTTACGACGAATACACGGAGTGTTCCCACAGAGACAATGCAATAACAATTGGTCGTTGCGTAGGAATCGCAGAATCAACAAAGCAGCGTTTCCACAGTTACAACAAGGGCTCATTTGCATAGCAGCGGCCGAGGGTATTAAAGGGGGTTGAATTCATTCGCCCAGTCAGTCTTGGAATAGCTGCCGCTGAAGAAGGTTGGAACATAGATGCCAAGAGATAGAGAAGTATTGGCCGAGAGATTGTGTAACCAGTAACTCTAATACTGCAAATGGCAATAATTGTAAAGTGTGCAAGTGAATTACAATAAAGATTCGCTATAATTAATACGGCATAAAGTTATTTTTAGGGTGACATACCCAAACATGCTACATGCATTACTGACGCGTGCAACACGTCACATCCACATTGGAATTGAGCTGTGTCATTTACCTTAGCATTCATTTCGTGAGTATAGTTTATTTTTTTCTTCTTTCATTGTTTTTCATTTCGTTTTCTTAACTGTTTTCCTTATTTTTCAGTGCAACTGGCCGTGGAATTGAGCTGTGTCGATTGATCTGCATTTGAATTGAAATATTTCGTTAGTATTTTTTTTTTGTTTCTTCTTTGTTTTCCAGGTTGTGTTCTTTCCTTTTTTAATGTTTTGCAATTTTATATGTTTTTGTTATAACTTTCTTTCTTCTTCTTCAGTGCAATCGATCTGCTTTAGTTCATCCAAATAATGCCTCGCAGAAGATCAAACTTAGGTCGTCGTACTCAGGGAGCGGAAGCAGTGTGACGAGTAATTGCAAATCAAACTGGGGAAGAATGGGCAGACTGAGCCACAGCGACGCATGGCCGGGTACAGCTAGTATATGATATAAAAATACTTACCTTCTTTCAAAACTTCAATAACATCTCCTTCTTTGAAGGTTAATTCATCCAAATCTTGAGCAGTGTAGTCATACAAAGCCTTGCACTTCGGAAGGGCAGGTTTTGGCTTCATAGGCGGTCGTGGCTTACCTCCGCCTGGTATAGGTTTGTGAGTTGCACTCTGGTTCAAACTTGCTCGTTTGACTCTGAAACATTTAAAACATACAAAGAATGAAACAGCCAGATGTCAAGTGTTACTATCTGAGAATTTCAGTTTCTTCTTGTGCATATGATCTGCTTCTGATCTGTTTCAGTTTGTAGTAATGAAGAACAGTCAAACTCTAAATGGTTCTGACAATAAGTGTATTGCACTTAGTATTACTGGGCTTCCAGACTTTTGTCTACTGCCTGGTATTCTGAGTAGAACAAAACATGCCATGAACTTAATCTCTTTCCATTCCTAGGTGAAAAGGTGGTGAGGCACTTAGTCAGTTGCATCTGTTAGAAACAGCTAACCTCAGGCCACTGCATATCCCCAAATAAAGGAAATAAACATACTTATGTTTCTTCAGAATTTCAATAATATCTCCTTCTGTGATGGATACTCATCCCAATCTTGAGCAGTACAGCTCAATGCAAATGAAAGAGTGGTCAGTAAAAGACTGCACGCTTTCTGCCTAACATATTGAGCTGCCTTGTTTTAAGGCATGGAACATACTCGTACTGCTCTCTATTTATCCACTGAAAATAGACTCTGTGAATTTTTTTATTCATTTAATAAAGGTGGCTATCAACAATTTCATTTAGATTCTAAAGGGTTCTGACAATGGTGGAAGACTCAGAGAATTACTGGGGTTTTGGACTTTTTCCATCGTCCAGAATTCTAGGTAATAGAGGATACAACGTTTTGGAAACTGGATCTGTTTTCATCTTCAGGTGAGAAAGGGAAACACCTACTCAGATGGGCAGTTGAGATCCATCTGCATACCAACAATTTCAACAGAGACAATTGTTTCACACTACTCAAGTGTGGTATCCCCTCACCAACACAATCCAGAAAGCCACATTAAGCCCACAGAAGAAGTTAAATGACATTCAAATGTTAAAGTTGGATAGATTTGCAGTTAGCAACATACAAACAGGACAAGAAGTGAAAGGGTACCATGTTTCAAGTGACAGTACATACACACAACAAGAATGCAGATACATACAGACATGACCACGCCAGATAGGTCAGTCCGACATGATCTGCCATGCTAAGCATGAATGAGGTCAGTGGTGCTGAGATGGGTTTACACTTAACACATTGCGGACCAGAGGGGCCATATGGCCCTCTACGTTTCCAAGCGTTGCGGACCAGTCGGGCCATATGGCCCTCTACGGTCACGTTATGTTGCAAAATGCTATATATCGCTGTGTGGCTTCGTTGAATCGTAACTACCGCGTAGATGACCTCGGGAATGACTGCTGCCTTATCTAGTAACTCGACCAGAGTCATTTCCTGTCACAACCTAAACAAAATTGGCTTTGTTCTAATCCAAGCTTGCATGTATGAACCATGCAGCTACCAGTTCAACATGGCTCAGAGACGAAAGCAGTTGCGATCTCTTGGAGGACAGGAAATATTAGATATGTTCTCCGATGAGCTATCAGATTTGCCAACTGCTTCGTCTTCTGATAGCGAGGCCATTATCAGTGACATTGACAGTGACAGTGACGGGGGCCATAGGGCTGCCCAAAATGTGTCAAGTGAAAGTGAGAGCTCCATTGAAAGTGCGAGCGTCGGGACAGCTACATGGGATAAAGTGGACAAAACCCCCACTTTGGGAAAGTTTACTGGTGATCCGGGGGTGAAGCAGATGCCATCGGACCCAACGGACGTGTCTGAAGTTGCGTCACTGTTTTTTGGAGATAGTTTCTTTGACCTGTTGTGTCAGGAAACTAACAGATACTATCTCCAACACCGTGAGGAGTACGACAGAACCAACAAGGTTTTGAAGTGGGTGGATGTCACTTCAACAGATGTGAAAAAATTTTTGGCTATAATCATTCTAATGGGGCTTACGAAGAGAGAAAGTTTGAAGGATTATTGGTCAAGTGACCCATTTTTAGAAATTGCAATTTTCAGCAAACTCATGAGTCGTAAGAGATTTGAACAGATATGGTGGTGTTTGCATTTCAACAATAATGAAGTGCAACCACAACCAACGGGCAGGCTTTTCAAAATTCAGCCCTTATTAGACATTTTGGTTGAAAAATTTCAGACAGTTTATAAGCCAGAGCAACAACTGTCTTTGGACGAATCTGTGATTCCTTGGAGAGGAAGGCTTCGTATTCGAACGTATAATCCTACGAAGCTCACAAAGTATGGCCTACTTGTTCGTGTTGTCATGGAAAGCACTTCAGGCTATATAGGAAATTTAGAAATTTATTCTGCTGAAGGCAAGAAATTGCAAGAAACTATTGTTNGGACATTCTTCTTCAGTCCTGGAGGGATACTCGCATTGTGAATATGGTTTCCACTATTCACAATTCGAGCATGGTCGATGTTCAAAGACGACACGGGCAAGTAAAGAAGCCTCTTTGTATTTCCGAGTATAATATGTTCATGAAAGGAGTTGATAGGGCTGACCAGTTCTTGGCCTATTATTCCCTTCCTAGGAAAACAGTAAAATGGACGAAGAAAGTTGCACTGTGGCTTATAAACTGTGCAATTTTCAATTCATTTACGGTTTTCAAAAAGGTGAACAGAAATTCTACTTTGAAATACAAAGCATTTCTGTTGAAACTGGCAAAAGCTTGGGCTACTGACGTCACGGTGGCGGCAGTACCTGCGTCAGACACAGACGTAGTGCAGCCGGGGCCATCTGTTCACACCCGCCGGAGGCCTCAAGTAGACCCCCCTGGCCGACTCTCGGGTGATATGCGGAAACATATTCTCGTGAAAATTGTGAAGAATGAATATTGCAAGAAGAAACACCCTTCTAGGCAGTGGTGTGTGTGTGCAGAGCACAAGAAGAAGAGTAGAACTGCCTACATGTGCAGCTTCTGCGTAATGCAGAATGTTTCCAGAGATATCACACGCGCAAGCACTTCTAGGAGCTCTGGTAAGTGTTTTCCAAAAATTTCAGTTCATAAAATTAATTAGATTTTATATTAATTTTTAAAGTGAACAGTGCACAAGTTAGGGTAGTAGGTTTAAAAACCCCAGTCCCCAGGGTCATTTAAATGTTTAAACCACCGGTCCGCAATGTGTTAACTCCACCCATAGTCCATCATTAGTTACTTAGTTGTACTTAAATGTCAGGACTTGATGTACGAGTATATGTATGACCAACAGTGTTTACTCAGTACATGATTCCAATATGATGGAGACAGAGAAAGTCTCTGAAACATTGAACTGCTGTTATGAATTTACATGGCTAGTGGCCCTGACAATTTTTATCACTTTCAGACACCATGAAAGCTTTTTGAATTGAATTGAATTGAATTTATTTACATTCTATAAATCCTAAGCAGGTTAGTACCTTTGGATACAGAACAAGTCAAAATGTTACATACATAAAAGTACAGGCAATTTTAGCTTAAAAATTAATATAACTTAAT